TTTCTCCTATTAGTGAATTTAGAACTGAAACAAGATGATCTGTTCTAATGTATTACATGTTAGCGCTAAAATATTCAAGTTGGTTTTCTGTTTGCTTTTGTTTTAGATTTGTTGACTAGGAATGTTTCAGACCTTGGTTTGTTCATTAAGAGCAGGCAGCAGCTATCAGATAACCAGAGGCAAATATCTGATGCTATTGCTGCTGCCAGTATTGTAACTAATGGTACTGGAGTTGAAAGCACATCGCTGGGAGTATTTGGAGTGGGCATCCAGCAGCTAAATGACTTCTTAGTGAACTGCCAAGGCGAACACTGCACTTATGATGAAATCCTCAGTATTATCCAGGTCTGTAATAAAAACATCTTGCAATTCCTTCTACTAGGACTCTTGTTCCTTCTGTTTTCCCTGCCAGTATTTTCTGCCTGGCATTCGGAATTCTGTAGGTATGTGGATATCTCCTTTCAGGCTAATGCTGTCTCTGCAGTTTGCTTGAAACGCATTGTGTAAGTCTGCCTAGCAGTTTTGTTTCAAGAGACCAAGTGTTTTACTTTGTAGTCCTTGTTTCTACTTGATAAATTTAAAATGCATTATTATGTTTATTATAGGATATAAACTTGTGCAACTGTCCATAAATATGCCCATAAAAAGAAAAAATAAGCTGAGGCGAATAAACAGTTTTATTGGCTACGAGTGCTTTACATGGGAAGGGACATCAACGCTTGGAAACATTATTCATGACAGTGCCTTGTTTCCTCCTCATCTGTGACCACCTTTGATACAACTTATCCCTAACTTGGAACTTCATCCTAAAACACCACCATTTGCACATATTTTTATTTTGTTTCAAATATTTTATTCCAGTCTTTAGTTAAAACATTCATTCTCTCAGAGTAATTTTCCAAAAGCACATCTTATTCACTTACGCATACAATGGCTGAAGTGATGGAAAACATTCTTGTGAATTTTGAATTCTTCCAAGGATGCGTGATTAGTGAAAGTTAACAAAGTTTAAAAGACTGAGCGTTTCAACTATCAGGCAAGTGTATGCAATATAAATTTGTGAAGTTTAAAGGATGGAAATTCTAAGGAAACATTAAAGTACTACACCATAAATATCTCTCTGGTTCAAGATGATGTGTTCTGTTTAAGCACAACAGATAGGAGAAGGATCCATGGTTACAGACCCTTCTTAATATCACCCTAAGTGCTGAACCTGCTTTGAACAGGAGGTCGGATTAGATGACTTCCCAATGTCCCTTCCCAGTGGACACCCGCTACTTAAACCACATAAATGGTGTTTTTGGATACTGACCGATTCCTTCGATGCACAAGCTATAAACAAATGAAAAAGCCTTATCTATAAAAATTATTATAATGTTATCTCTTAAATTTCTTCTTCCTTTCAGAAGTTTGAACCCAGTGTGAATATGTGTCAGCAGGGGCTACTATCTTTTGAAGGATTTGCAAGGTAATTAATTGTGTTATCTTACATATAAAGGTGGCACCAGTATATTGATGCTTGCATGACATTCACAGCATACTCAGCACAGCATAAAATTTCCTCACATCTTCTTGCCTCTAGATTTTTGATGGATAAAGACAACTTTGCCTCCAAAAATGATGAGTCACAAGAGAATGCTGAGGAATTGCGGTTTCCACTGTCATACTATTACATTGAATCTTCACACAATACTTACCTTACTGGCCATCAGCTTAAAGGGGAATCCTCAGTAGAGCTCTACAGCCAGGTATGCAGGATTAGATTCTTGCGTAGTTTTCAACATAAACTTGTTTGTTTAACTAGCAAATCACAGAAACATGACCTTTTTGCTTTGAAAACCTGAATGTTCTAAGCCCCTGCTTGTAAAATGTTGGAAAACATGATGTGTGGGAAAGCTGCCTGTGAGTGCAGTTGAGCTCAAATGCCTTTTCTAAAGCAAAAATGGGTTTAGTTCGAGATTCATAGCTTTTAGGCACTAGTCAGTCTGACCTAACCTACTAAAATTAGACTTTCCCACAGGAAAGACTGATCTAATATTTTAGTTCATTCAGATGTCAAAAACACTATTCAAATATGGTACGTTGCACTGCAAAGACAAATTTCAAATGGAACTATAACTTCTATAAATGTTACTTCTAGGAATATTCTACAATTTTTTTTACTTTATGCCCGATTGTTGGTAAACAAGAAAAGAACCTTTTCTCCCTAGGGCTTGTGGTTCTGAGTTAGTTTGTGTACGTGTATTTGTCTGTCTGTGTGTTTACCAAATGCTGGAGAAAACATCAAACTTCCTGTGAGTGGTGTTTTCGTTAGTCTCTACATTAATGACTGGCCACGTTCATGAAATTGGGGTTGGTTCACCTGGAGTCACATGTGCCACTTCTCTTTTGAGTTTTAAGACAGATGGGTGAGGCTATGTTAGGAAAGCTGGAATAATATGATTGCATAGAATAATGCAGTTGCAAAGGAGGAGAAGAGTGGGAAAGTGTGCTGCGGGAAAGCCTCTTCCTGTCCCTCAAGTAGTTGTCCCTGGAGGAAGGAGGGCGCTGTCTTCTAGCTCAGTGTGTCTGACTCCTGGGGAGAAAGGTGGTGTGCCGGCCGTTGACACAACTGCCTGAAATTTAATTACTCAAATTGTGATAAGGTAGTACATTTTCCCTTATTCATGTGCATTTTTGCTAGAAGTGACTTGGAGTGTAGAGGGCTTTGGTTTTAGTAAAATAGTTAATTGTAATAAAGATAAACTTTTTCAGTAATAGTCATGCTAAATAGCAATAGCAGTAATAAGATGACCCATCTGTCAAAAGCTGAGAGCTTCTCCTTCCTTCCATCCTGCCTTCTTGCTTTCTTCAGTGGTTTTCTGGCAAGTAGGGCTTCCAGTGAAAAAGAATGGATGTAAATCCGGCTTAATGTCATTAAACAAGATGGCCTGGTACATTCTCATTCTAACTATCGTCATGTAAGGTGTTTGCTAGAAGTTATTTTCAGATCTCCTTTTATAAAACAAATAAATAAAAAAAAAAAAAGAAAAACACACACCCCAAAATAGAATCAGCAAACTGCAGCTGCCATGCCCAGAAACTGTCATGGTAGCAACCAGGAAAACATTGCCATGTAGCTTTCCAACTGCGCTTGTAGCTAGAAATGTGGAAGTGTTTGTCCCTGAGGACATCAACCTATGCAGTAAGAACCACCTTCTGCAAGCAGATTCCATGTGTCCTGCAGAGATACAGTGAGTTTCTAAGCTTCATTTTACGTCTCCTAAGGACACACATATATGCTTTCTTCTTAATTTTCCCACTATTTCTGAACCTGGGGAATGCAGTTAGCTGGACCGTAGCTTCTATGGGCTGTGTTTACTCCACAGAGATTGCTCCTTCCAGCGCCTTTTCTGAATCACTAGGCTTTCATTTAGCTTTGCATTATCTTTCTTCTGCTTTGGTGAGGTGAGACTGTGGCTCGTACGTGCTCACACTGTTCAATTGCGTTGTAGGTTCTCTTACAAGGCTGCAGAAGTGTGGAATTAGACTGCTGGGACGGCGATGATGGGATGCCTATCATTTATCATGGGCACACTCTTACTACTAAGATCTCTTTTAAGGTATAGTGGTAATTGCATATAGAAATTAAAAATGAAAAGAAATGAATATTTTTTCTGTAATGAAGAAAAAAATTCTCCAGGAATACAAATCCTAATAGGTCGACAACACAGAACGTATGCAGTACTTCATGAAAACTCCTCTTCATGAGAAAATGGGAGCACCTCAGTTATAAACGTTATGCTTTTCAAATTAGTTTTTGTAGCATATGTACTATAATTTTCTGTAGTTTTAGTTTCGGCATAACTGTAAATATCTGTATTCGGTTCTGCTGCAATAAGATGCTAGGTTGATCTGTGGGAGTTCCGGTTTTGGAAGCCAATTGTGGATTCTTTCTTCTTAGAGGAGAAAACAGATGCCTTTTCTCCCCTTTTAACTAGTAATAAGTTAACTGAATGCTGCACAATAATCATATATTCTTACAGTAATCCTTCTTCCTCATAGGAGGTAGTCGAAGCTATTGATCGCAATGCCTTCATCACCTCTGACATGCCAATTATCATATCCATAGAAAACCACTGCTCATTGCCTCAGCAACGCAAGATGGCTGAGATTTTCAAGGTAAGCCATAAAGTGTACTAAATTATTCTAAGCACATGCCTGGGGATTTTTCATAATATCTCACATGCTCTCAATATTTCAGAGTGTATTTGGAGATAAGCTGGTAACCAAGTTCTTATTTGAGAGTGACTTTTCTGATGATCCCATGCTTCCTTCACCTGGCCAATTGAAAAGAAAAATCTTGCTGAAAAACAAGAAGCTCAAAGCCCATCAAACACCAGTGGATATATTGAAACAAAAGGTATGACCCTTCCTTAATAGCAAGAAGTGAGACCTAAATTTTGTTAGAAGTAATTGATTTGTTTTTTGCCATTCCTCTATGTACAGCAGAATAATCTAATGCATATTCATGCTCGGGGGACTCCCAGTGGTTTGCAACACTTGCAAATAAATAGAGAAGCCACACAGTAAGGTACAGATAAACCATCACAAAATTTTAGTATATTTATTTTTATGATTTTTCATAATATTCTGATTAGCACTACGTACCATATTTGTTCAAAGTAAATGAATTTTCCCTCTGAAGCTATAGCCTTTGCTATTTAATATTTGCTGAGAAATGGTGAGAAGTGCCCAGTATATTCTACTTGTTTGAAATAAATAGCTTTTAACAGACTTCTACTGTGTTTCTTCTTCCATTTTTCAAGCCTTCTTGCTTCCTTTTTGTGGAGGACTGTGTTATTCAAGTAGTGGTCATACCTTCATGAGGTATTTTTTGGTTTCTGAAAAGCCACAGCTGCATCTCTGGTATACTCAGCTCGTGACAATTTGGTATGGATAGTAAGCAATTAGAGTAATTCCTTGAAATCTAACTGATCTTAGCCAAAATGCAAACACAATGTAACAGTTACTAGGAGGCAAAAAGTTTTTCTTTTCTTCTGAGTCTAAGGGCTTTTTCTCATCCCCAGTATGCTTGCATCAGAATAAGTAAGTCACAATAGTAATACCAGTATGTGGACATTCTTCATCTTTTAACACGGTTTAAACTGCATAAAGCAGAGTATCTCAGCCTGGAAAAAGATGCTCTTACTCTGAATAATTTGCCATGGGGAGGTTTTTCCATAATCAGCCAGGATTCATATCTTGCTGTGTATTGTTCTGCGCACGCAATTTAAATGTGATCTTGATAATCTGACTTGCCTGTCATTATATCTCTCCAGTGCTTTCATATAAATAAAAGAAGATGCAAATAATGAAGAAAACTTTTGCTTTTTAAAAATACCTATCAGTAATGTAATAAGTGGTTGGTTCTGTTGCTGTAGGCTCATCAGCTGGCACATATGCAAGCACAGGCTAGCAATGGTGGTAGCGCTAGCCACCCCACATCTACCAATGAAGAGGAAGAAGACGAAGAGGATGAATATGACTACGACTATGAATCTCTCTCTGATGGTAACAATATGTATTTATTTATTACAGTGCTGTTGCTAGAGAGCTGTAGCAATAAGGGATTTAAATCTGATTCCTTGTTCAGGAATGATGTAGGCAAGTTGAGCTTACCTTGTGAGAGGAAGATGGACTAAATATCCTCTGTGGCACTTTGGTGCAATGTTCTTTAATACTACAAAAATAATTTGAATGAGTAGGGGACTTTAGTGTTTATCTCCGACTATTAAATGTTCTAACTGTGCAATGTATGCTAAATTACACTCCTATAAATTAGTTTTTATGTTTGTGCTAAATTACGCATAAATGACTGTGTTCATTAATGTAGTGTACTCTCTATATGTTCACCTATATTTCCTTTCCTAAGGAGTTCAGAGGCTGGCAACGGGCTTAGCACTTGCCACCTACCTGACTGCCATTAAATCAGTCTAACATGCAGATTCTCCAGAGCCCTCCTTGACTACTCCCAAATCCCCGAGACCCCTGAAGAGCCTATCTTAGCTACGCTTTCAGCATAAGCTGTTCACTTCATGGTGAAGTTGGAGAAGCTGCTGTGCCTTTGGCTCATGCAAGTGGACAGGGAATAAAGAGAAGATGAGTTTACTAAAGCTTTAACTGCTCAGTGAAAAAGTGGCAAGGGATAACTTAAGTGACTTGCCTTGTAGATATATGTGCTGTCTGGGCTTCCTTTTTGCCAGGAAGCCACTGCCCACAAAGCAGGAATAGCAGAACAGGATAAAATTCCATGCTTCAGCTATTGGGGCCCTCAAGAACTGGCAGCTTGGCATAAATCCACCTTCAGTGATGGTTTAAACAAATCTACTAGACAGTAGATTGGATACAGTCATTAGCATGTCAAGGCTGATAAAAAATATCGCAGGTAGTAGCTTCCGCTACATCTTCAGTTGCTTAAGTTCGGTCTGACAGGTTTAACTGAAGTACTGATGAAGGAAGGACAGTGTGTGTCGGACTGAAGCAGCTGTGGTGAGGTCATACGTCTTTTAATACCTTATGATGCTGTGGGCCTGGTAGACACTAGTAGGGCAAACAGTTGGAGTCAGAAACACTTAATCCTCTGAAATTTTATCAAAGGACATTTGTCAGAACCCCCAAGTATGGGTGAACAGGCTAGTGGCCTTTAAAATGAGTGCATGTTATTTTTATTGGTAAATTTCAGAAAATATATCAAAGTAGATGACAGTGTGTTTGGAAAAAGTATACTGCCCAAAGAGGCAGCAGTGAAATCTCCTAGTGTGCAAGTTAAATGCCGCATCAATGGCAAATAACTCCAGAAGCAGGTCATAAAACGGAACAAGTGGACAACAGATGTACAGATGTGCTTCAGTGTGGATGAATGTAAGGTAGCACATCTAGGGGAATAAATTTAAACCATGCTTGATGATTCCAAGATCAAAACTGGCAGTAACAACTCAGGAATGAGCTCTTAAATCATTAGGAACAGTATTGCAACCAAAGCAGCTTATAAAACCTTGATGTTGCGCAACTTGAGTTCTGTGTGCAGTTCTAGTGTCCGGATCTGGTTGGGTTATGGAAGGAGGGGAGAAGGGCAACCGAAAAAGGGAATGGGGCCTTGGTCCTACAGTAAGAGTCTAAAAAGGCTGGAATTCCTCAATTGGAAGAGGAAAAGACTGAGGAGAGGGTTTGACAAAGGTTAGCAAAATCTTAAAGTGGTAGTTGAAGGGAGTACAGAGCTGTTATTCACTAACTCTCATCATACTAGTTCTAGGAGGCAAGCAGTGAAACAAGTAGAAGATTGGTTCAAAACAAGTAAAAGGAAATACTACTTTATGCAGCTGGTAGTAAACGTCTGGAATTTGCTGCTACCGAAAATTGTGGAGGCAGGCAGTGTCAGAAGATTCAGAAAAGGACTGGACAAATTCAGGAACCACAGGCTTATAGACAGACGTTATAGGTACAAAGGTACCCTCCAACATCCCCAATATCTATTGATTGTAGATGTTGGGGTGATACAAGGGGAACGGACCGTACCTACGGGCTGGGTGCTCTCCCTAAATAGCATCTCCTCTTGCCACTGTCAACAACAGAACACTTGAGTTAGATGGACCATTGGTCTGGCAAGTTGAGCATGTTCTCCTAGATAAGGAATGAAATATTTTACTCACTTGAAGTCTATTGGGTACCTGTGTAAGTGTTACACACTGCATTTAGAAAAGATGCGAGGCTTGAGCATGCCCTTCTTCAGCACAGGGCTTCTTTCCAGTCAGTCCCTCGTTTGTTATTTGCTTCTGTGTTAGCGATTAAAAAAAAAGTCACAAAATTAACAAATGCACTTCAGGACCTGACTCGTTAGTGCTTGTGGGATAGCAGTATTATTTAAGCTAGTAAGAAAATGTAAGGGTCTGGTTCTGGTGCCTTCTCCAGCTGCATTTTGCTAGAAAGTTTGCCTTACTGGCTGCTTGAGAGGTCTCCTTGTGTGGGGCAGCATAGAGATAGCTTCCGTGAAAATTGCTGTGAAAAGCGTTAGACATTTGTTAACACGTTTGCAAAGGAGATACCATGAGCTGACTCAGTAAGTAATGTTTGAGCAATGTTGTAGTTAAGAGAAGGTCTGAAAAATCTGAAGCTAGCAGCAAACAATCACGCCCTGCAATACATGAAGGAATCTGTGGCATGGTTTACTGCTTTATTACAATGAATATTCTTTGGGATTTTTAATTACTTTAATATTTTGGCAAAACTAATCTAAATAATAGTCTGTAAACTTTCTAAAAGATTTTCAGTGTTATTTTCCTTACTGATGCATTAGTTTTGCATAAGGCTAATACACTTAATTTTCATTTTTCTGGCTGTAAATCTTAATTTCCTTTACTCTTATTCCCTCTCTGACTCCGTTTCCCTGTAGCTGATGTCCTTAATGCTTCTCCTGCTGCTAACAGCCAGGAAGGTAATGGCCATTTGGTTGAGCGTTTTAACTGCATGAAATCAGCACCTCATTTCCAGCCCACTAAAAGTGCCGGTGTGAATATATGATTTTATATGGTATCTTATATGGCATTATTAACTGGTCAAGAACCACTAGAAGATTGCATGTGCAACACTGGTTATGCATAAAGAGAATATGGTCAAAGCGTCAGGAATGAATAAAACCCATTCCTTTTGTGGCAGATAATTATAATATTTTAGTCCAGAAAGACCAATCAGTAGATGCATTATACTCCAATAACTATGTAGCTTTGAAGAGGAATTTCTCTAGAAGTAAAAAATATTTGTGTGTTTATGCACAGTGAACATAAGGAGAGGAGAATGAAAGCTTGATGTACAAAGACATGTTACCTAAGTTACCATGTTTGATGTGGTTAAATTATTTGAACATATGCAGTTACTTGTTGTTCACAAGTGCCACCGAGTTATTTTCAGATGGCAAGCTTGAAGAAGAAATTAGATGATTTTGTTTTAAGCATTCTGTGAGCACAAAAGGATGGGCTTTCAAAGAAGTGTAGCGTATTAACTGAAGTCAGGCCTTAACTTTTTAAATAGAAAGTTACTGTTAAAGCGGAATGCTTTGACCAGTAAATGCATTCTTTTGCCATCTGGTTTTTCAGATAATATTCATGGCATTATCCACAAATATTGCTAACTGAAATCGAATTTCCAGTAGAAATTATTTGGCTTTATGCTTATTTAAGTCCCATTGATTTTTAGATAATATTCTTGAAGACCGACCTGAGAGTAAATTATCAAGTGATAAGCTGCAGTTTGAATATAATGAAGAGACTGCCAAAAGAATAAAGAAGGCTGATTGTGCTACTTACAGTAATAAAGGAAAGGTAGTACTGCTTTTTTCCCCTCTTTCTTCTCTGCCACACTTTTATCTGTAACAAGCTTCAAAAGCATTTAAGTTGCTTAGATAACAGACATCAGGGGGCAAATGCACTTTAATGAAGGCAAGTAGTAGAAGTCATGGAAACACACCAAAGAAAATGGATTAAACAGAAAACACATTCAACATAGCGTTCAAGAAAAGTCCGCAGAGGTTATTTTATGTGCAGGCCATTTGGATGAAAATTTTAACTGTAGTTATCCTCTTTGGAATACTTCTTTGTAGCTCGATCCAGAAGTTTATTTAGATACCTAATTGCCCTTGACGTGGATGGGCTTTAGATGTCTAGGAACTAAAGATTTCATGAGACTCTTCAGCATTTCTGTGTATCTAATTAACTTAAAAATATGGCACCATGATATCTATAGCCATGTTACCATTTATTAAATCATCAGGCAATTAAACCCCTGCATTGTTGTTCCTTAAACTGTGGTTTATCCTGAACGCAGATCCTTTTTGTCTAAATATTTGTGGAACAGACCATGACTCAGGTCCTTGCACGCTATCCCATGTTATCGCAATAATGCATAAACCTGCACACGAGAGACACGAGAGATCTGTTAGGTGAAGACAGCAAACCGTGTAAGAGCAATGAGATGTAAAGGATTTTAAGGACATAAGTGCGATATGCTACAATACCTTCATATTCAGTAATATTATTATTTTATGTTATTGGAATTGTCACTTAGGTTTATGATATGGAACTGGGTGAAGAATTTTATCTTCCACAAAATAAGAAGGAAAGCAGACAGATAGCCCCAGAGCTATCTGACCTTGTCATTTACTGTCAAGCTGTAAAGTTTCCAGGTAAGTATACTTCCCTGTTTTATTGCTTTAAACTTTCTAATTCTTTAGGCTGTTATATTTGTGTTTTGAATTATTTAGTACAAGCTTTTTCAAATTTAAGTAGTTTAACTTTCTTTTTGAAGATCTGGTAGTCTACATAATAGCTCCTGACTGAGAAGTAGTATGCGTAAATCCATTATGTGAAGGCATACTGTTTGTCATATAAAAATGTTTACAAATTTGAAATTTCCCAGCCTTTATGACTTAGAGAATAGTCGTCTTATTGCTGCGTGGATGACAGATGAGAGAAAGCTGTATCATAAGAGCTCTGAATTTCCATGTACGGAAGTACTGAATTGGCAATGAGAATAAAACCTTGCCAGAAAGAGCTTGTCAGATTTCTTTAAGTGACTGCAGTCTGGCATGTTTCACCTTTGCCTATGCGCTCTACGTTTTCTGTCCTTTCCTAAATGGATAGGAGGGGAGCCATTTGGGGTTGGGCTGGGGTGGTAATGGGAGAAGCTCAAACCTTCTGAATTCACTTACACTGTCTGCCTGCTTGACTAGAGAAGCCAGCGAGGGCGGTTCGGGAAGGAGGAAGACAAAGCTAACAGCCTTTTCATGGGGTGGGCGAGGACAGCTGACTGGGGAGACACATACACATGTGCGCGCACACAGAATTTATGCAAAGGGTTAAGGAAATAGGAGAGCATTTCTTTTGTATGGTAGGGAGAATAACGTTAGCAGAGCAGAAGGAGAGGCAGTAACTCAAGAGATCACTGGTAATTGCTTGTTCAGTACTGAAGCATGAGGATGAGTATGTTTTGGCTCATATATTGTACATAAATTCTTTTAAATTGAGAATATATTGTTTATTAATGTGTTCAATGTTTTGAAAGAAATATCAGCTTTTTAATTGAATGATTCTCTGTGGAAATATCAGTAATTCTGGCAAATCACAATCTTACGCAAATAGAACTATAGTCAGATCAGAGAAGCTAACCAAACATAAAAGAGAGTCAAATATGCAAGATAAACATGCTGAAAAATGGAAGGGCATACTTTTATAATCTTTCATAACTTTAAGAATTGTAAGTGTTACGTTTAGCAATAATAACTTCTGTAAAATTTTCACATTTGATACTCTCTTTTTAATGAAATCGGCAATGTGATATCTTTCAAATAAAATATTTTCTTTTAAAGAATGATATTAAAGATTAAACAGAGATAGCTTAAGTTGTTCCAAACATTTTGACATACAAAGAAGTTCTGGTGTTCTAAAATAACTTCAAAATATTTCAAGTTTCTAATGTAAGTTCAATCAGAAAAAAGAAGTTACTTTCCACATCAGATTTCTTTCTCTTACTTTAATTAGAACATGAATGGAACAACTAAGAAAATGAATTCCTTTCACAGTTGAACACATGAAGCTATAAAAATCAGTTTTCCAACAAATTTGTGTATGTTTCCTCTTTAGAGACAAATACTGTCTTCACTGCGATGGATGTAGATATGCGTGCTCTCTGTGCTTCTGGTGTGATCTCTGCCCAGCTGGAGGGCACAAACACACTGCATGCCTCTGTTCCACTGCTGTACCCCAATATTGTCAGTTAATAATGAGCACAAGGCCAGTAGATCCATGGTTATGTAGATCTGTTGACCAGTTTCCTTTCCAACTCAGAAAATGCAAGCGTTCTGCAGATAGGGAGGGCAGAATTCATGTTAGTGGCTGATCGTTGGTATAAATACTTTATTTCTCCTGTCCCCTTTTAGCTCTGTTCTATGTTTATAATTGCCTATGTCTGTGAAGGTTATCATTGATTTATGACTACAAAACAAGACGATGACTAGATCACCTAGCCTAACCTGCTGAGTGATGTGGACTTCCCAAATGGCTCCCTAGTCAAAACAGAATTTATCGTGCGGAGGAAAAAAAAACGTTTCTTGTTTATACAATATCTGGGAAGGAGAAACCCACCACAGCTCCTGTTGTTTCAGTGATTTTTGGCCATTACTCTCCTTGCCTAACTTCACTTTCAGTCTGCTGGATATCATCATACTGTTGTCTGAGACAACGAAGACCCATTCTTTTGGGTCCCTGAAGATGAGAGCAATGAAGCATACTTGAGCACAGTACTGCTGTAACTAACTCACTTGTGTGTGGCTTGTTGCCTTGATGCTGAGGATCCTTATACAATGAACGGAGAAAGTTGGGTGCATTAAAATAGGGTCTGTACAACCTTGTGCAGTGAGTGGGTTGTTACCTAAGCTACTGAACTTGAAATTCAGTCATCATCTCCAGTGTATCAGACTGCCTGCCACTATGGTATCAATTTTCTAGAAATGAAAGTGGGCATAAAAAATGGCACCCTGCAAATGTACCATAGATTGTTTTTGAGGTCTGCAGTCCCACAGGCTGCTGGCTGTTTGCCAGGGACACACAGTGAGAAGGTGACAATTACATCTTAACCTGTTAACCTTAGCATGATTAGAACAGGAAGGGGCCGGGGAGTTTGTCATCCCCTGAATTAAAAACCTGAAAGCAGTAAAACAATAGGATTTTATCTAATCGGAGAGAGTAATTCTGTAACCTGCAGGATATAGCATAGGGGTTGTAGGGAGATCTGAAACAAGACTTGCTCTGTCATTGTGGCAGTATGACAGGATCCAAGTTGGTCCGGCTTTGAGCGGGGGGGTGAACCAGATGACTTCCATGTCTCCTCCAGCCTCCATTGTTTTATGAATTTATGATTCTATGAATAGGTGATGCTGTCTTTTGGAGTCCAGTTTAAACTGGAGTGGAAAATGGAGCTTCCCTGTGGGAGGGGAGGCCTTTCTCTTGCATAGTATGCCCATGGGAAAGACTGAAGGAAAACTCCCAGCTTACCGTGTAACTATCACATACAGCTCAGTTAACCTTGATGTTTTGCGTTGCACTCTCCAGTGATTTATGAGGTTAGTTTGTTTCCTCAGTGACTGTCTCCACAACAGGATTTTGAAACCTGGATCTTGCTTGCCAAATCCATTTCATCTATTGAAAACTGAGATTAAGTAGTTCTGGAGGCACATAGTCCATAACTCCTCATTCTTCTAGTCAGTTCATATTCCTTGATCTCAACCTGTACCATCTTCTGCTGTTTATGTGCATGCTTTGGCCCAGAGAGACAGTAAGTCTCCAATCCTGAAAACATTCATGTACATACTAAATTTTACTAACGCGAACAGTCCCATTGAAACTATAACTTCACTAAGTACACGTAGACATGCTGTTAAGTTTGAGACCTGAAAATTTACATCTGTGGACTGACTTCAGTAGAACAGAATCTAACATTTCCTTTTGTGATTTGCAGTTGTAGTTAAAATATTAATATTAAATCCAGAGCTGTCTTTAGGGAGGTGTGAATTGGTGGGATTGCGTTGGACCCTCTATGCAACATGTCTAGTGTCTGGGCTGACACAGCATTGCCAGCCTGGTGAGTGGCCCCGCCAGGAGGCATGTGCACAGGCCCGGAGGACACGTCCATGGCTCTAGTGAGGCATTAGGGAGCAGAGCCTGGCATTTAACTTTTTTGTATGAATTTTGGGTTTTATTTTTGTCCTTCTAAAACTGAGGGTCATCTTACGAGTGACACATAGGCCAATATAGTGAACTTGCTTTGTCATATTGTAAGTCACGAGCGCGTGTTGGGGCTCTGAGAGCGTTCCTCACCTCGCTTCTGTGTGTGTGTGAGAATAACTGTGGTGCGTTTTGACTTTGTTTTTCGTTGTAATCTGCTCTGTGGTCTGTTGAAGACTGAACAGAAAGAAACTGACCCTAAAGGGAATGAAATCTATTTACTTCACTGGGATTTAGATCACGAGTTTAATGATTATTTTGCTGGAATGCATATATTTGAATAATAGCTATAATAGAGCTTTCCAGCCCCACAGAAGCCCCAGCACTCCGTTTCCCATCTTTGAAATGCAAGCTCTAAACAGAAGGAGATAGCTCTGAAAAGACCTGGAGGTTAAACTGGTACATTAAATTAAGAGCATTTGGGGGTTTTCCTTTACTGTATCTTCAAATGATATTTTTGCATTTATTTAATTATGTAGCTCCCGTAACCCAGACAAATCCCATGATATTCAACACTGCACAATTTTATTGCCTGTGTAGAAAGTATTTTTTAAACAATTTTCAGAATGAATGTGTTGGGACTGTTCCTGCAGCATTTTTTATTATTAATTAGGACCATTTAGGAGGTTGAGACAGAGCCACCACCTTCCTCAAGCCAAAAAGTAAAATGGAGAAAAGTTCCATCACACAGATTTTTCTGTGTTGCTGCATATATGTTTTTATATACATTATATAGAGATGTGTGTGTGTGTACATACATGCATATGTAGATGCATGTATGAATGTCTGTGTATATAAAGGTATATACCGCATATTGAGGTTGTTGGGAGTTAAATTATGGAGAAAAATACAGTTTGCCCTGTGTACTATATAGTGGGAGGATTCATGTCTCGAAACATAACGTAAAAAATGATGGAAAATGTCATGCCCTCTTGGTCATGTTTTTTGGCTCATTCATTTTACATTTATGGGAACAGGCTTGTCAACTCTAAACCCATCTGGCTCTAGCAGAGGAAAAGAAAGGAAAAGCAGGAAGTCCATTTTTGGCAACAATCCTGGCAGACTAAGCCCTGGGGAGTCAGCAACTCTTGCCAAAGCATCTGGAAAAGGTAAAGTTAGCATCCTCTTTCACGAGTCACGTGGAATGAGTTTGTAATCCAGCACATGTACCAGACCACGTTGTTAAAGATCAAATACTTTACAATGTGTAAGCTATTGAACTTTGGAATGTTTTTTTGTTAGCATGGTAGCTATTACAGTAACACTATTATAACTAAAGAATTGACCGTATAGAAATGGAATGTTAGAATAGAATTAATTGATCAGGACCCTAATTCATAAATGATTCAAAACTAAATACACTTTAAATGATACATCTTACAGTTTATTTCTTAAAGATATGAATTGCTATGTTCTTTGGAAGTACAGTTGGAAAGTAGGACTATTGGGCTGGATCCAGAAAAAAAGATTGCGAATGTCTGAAGTAGGATTTAGTTGCCTAAAATTCAGCCAAGTCCAAATTTGTAATCCTGGAACCCCACCCGCCCCATTCCACCTTGGAGGTGTTCACACTCCACAGGTGCTGCAGTTTGTGAACTTGGGAATTCTACTTCTGTGTATGGACAGATTGAGGAAATGCATAGAAAAAGGACGCACAAGGTTCTGAAGCAGGGATGAGACCCAGTTGCCCTGCCTTTCAGGTGAATGCCATAAAGAGAAAGTTAGAGAGTTGTTTCCTTTCTTGGACTCCTTTTCTGACTCAGGGCCATGTGTTTCTTTCAGCGCAGTGGCACAGCTGCACCAGACAGGTTAGATTCCCTTCTAAAGGCCAGTGACCTAAAAATGAAGAATTCTAGCACTTAATTCTTACAGCCTTAAGTTTTTTGCTGGATTTGTCCCCTGACTCTTATGGCACTCTAGACTGCTTGGAGACTTAGCAGATAGATAGGTTTCAATATTGCCCCCCTTCCTAATATAAAAGATATATATGAGAAGAATGGAATATTGTCTCCCAGAAGACTCTACAGCTGGGTAACTAGGGTGTTTTCCTGATAGGTTATAGTTCCAGACTCAAATCTACAGAGGCTAGCCCTATAACCCTGAGTCTGGACTTCAGTTGTGAGGCTGGGACTTCAGCCCATGGGCTGTTAGGAAGAGGTGACCTCCCCAGGCTGTCTGTCAGTGATCCAAAAGATTGTTGTGGATGACTTTTTACAGGCACCTAATCTGTAGCTCCGAGTCAGGATCGTGGCTTCCTAATCTGCTTGCTTCAGATGGCACCATCCTTGCCGTTATAGCCTTCTGGGGTACCTACTTCCATTGAATGGAAAAGGGATTTATATATGTAATTTAGGAAATTGGTAGTACTTTACAAGTATTGTTAAGCGATGGGTTGAAAATGAAAATTCATTTCTAGCTAATCTCTCTAT